GTGTGTGTGTGTGTGTGTGTGTGTGTGTGTGTGTGTGTGTGTGTGTGTGTGTGTGTGTGTGTGTGTGTGTGTGTGTGTGTGTGTTTACCTCTTTGACGTCATCATACTCTATGTTGGCGGCCGACAGTGTGGTGACAGTGTTTGTATCACTTTCAGTAGAAACGTGGGTCACAGTGACGGACGTTGGAGCAGCAGGTATCCCAAGGACAGTAATGTCATCAAACACAAGGTTGTTTGGGTCCTTGTAGCCAGCATGGCTCACTTGTATTGTCAGTAATCCCTACAAGGCAGTGGACACACAATCACATTCCTAATTTAACTGCATTAAAGGTATTGCAAGCTCTGAAACTTCAAATAATAATGCAAAATTTACATGCTGCAAAATCTATCTGTTTCCTTCTTTTTTGGTCTTTTGACTAAATCGACTGAAAATGTTTTACTATGCACCATCACAGCTTAAATCGTGTATACTGATGAGAGAGCCAGATTTAAACTCAGCAAACTCATTTCCATCAGTCAAACAACTGTTACGATAGAGTTTCTGCTTGTAAACCACCCCAGAGTAATGAAGGAAGACCATCTTCCACATACATTCAACATGCAAGGCAACAGTCGACACAGTGTGAAGTAGGAACATGGGAAATTTAATCCAACAAAGCCTTAGTTGGCCACCATGGATCCATCATGACTTTTGATCTGGACTGGATACATCAAAAGTCTCCGGTGGTTTTGAACTTTGAACTTGAGCTCAGATCAGAGAGAATATGTGGGCTGGATTTGAAAAAGATGTGGTAGGGATTTGGAAGGGAAACTTACCTGGATAGCACTTAAATTGTAGTGGATGTATTTGGCATTCTTTACTGTGTCTGTAAAAAAATAAATAAATGAAGAAGATGTAGACGTTAATGTTTGTTGCAGCAGTTTAGCGCTGATGCCCCTGACCTCCACTCGGTAATGAGTGCGAGCTAACTGAGAGTGTTTAAACACTTACAACGACTCTTATGATTCTTTGCGCTCAAAAAGATAAACGCGTCCATTAGCTGATCATAAAAGCATGTCTGTAATCAGCGGTGGTAACAAGATACTGTCTCGCACACATCCACGCATCTGCACATGCACAAAAAGGCACAAAATGAGAAAAGCGACAATACCTCGGGAATCTCCATCATCCCAGAATAGCTCCCCAGCTGCCTGATCGTCGTCATCAAGAGCAATGATCAAGCCCATGGGGTTACGCCGACTAGAGAAATATACATAAACACACACGAAAGTACAAACACCATATGTACATGTAATTGCAGTTCAATGAATCAATGGCTACTTAACATGTCTGTGTAAACAAGTGCACATGAATCAAAAGTTAGAGGAGATACAATATGATTTAATTAGGATTATGTGTACTTTTGTGAAAATATGCTTGTGCATGCATGTGAATATATAGTATATCACATGCAATGTAATTACTGTAATTACGTGTGTGTTTGTATGTGTACCTGTATGTGACGGTGACTTCAGGTCTCTGCGTTGGGAGGATAGCACCACCTCTGATGTGTAAACCAAGCTTCTCAGCTGGTACATGCATATTAACATGCATTCTGCGTTCTGTCAGCGGTACCATCTGATTGGTAGGACAATAGAATATATTAGCTCACCTTGTGGGCGAGACAAACCCCCCACGCACCCCAAGGTTGTGAGAGCGTCCATGCTTTTGTGCTAGCCTAGCCTGACTAGGTTTGTGTGAAATTGCAATCTGTACAATAGTTTCACTTTTCTAAATCGATCAGGTGTTCGTACACAGCCCTGGTTTTGTAAATGGGAAACAACGAGGCTCTGACCAGGTTCACTTTTCTAACATGTCCTGTGGTTTTTTGTGCTTGTGCAGGAATGGGACTACGAGGACCAGAAAATCGGGCTCATATTAAATATTCAAATTTACTAACTTGATAAATATCAACAATCTTTATCCTGAATTGCAGACTCCACCTTTATAATAACTTTATTTATGTATTGATACAGCACCTTTAAGAACAATGTTCACAAAGTGTCTTGACCTGTTTTTGCATGTTTCAGAAACATGCAAAAACAGAGACAACCAAGCAAGACATAAGTCATAAGGAGACAAGGCAGAGCAATCAAATAAAATAAATAATTGAAATGGTGATTATAAATTAAATGACTAATGAGCTAGAATAGGATGCATCTCAAACAAAGGAACTAGGCTGTTTAAAACTTGCATGGTTGAACCATTGGTGTAAATGAAACAGTTATTGGTCTGGTTCTGCAAACCTGTTTATTGGATCTATGCTATGCCAACTCAAGGATTACAAAATACATAAATTACAGGTATTTTTTGGGTGAAATTTTGAGTCGCGTTTACTCTTGATTCTCGGCACACTTCAGAGACTTTATTTGCTTTACTTTCTACAAAAAATGTGACTTTGAAAGTTTGCTCAGCGTATTTTCTTATATTTTTCATATGTTTCTTTAAATAAAAATAATTGGTTTCACATTGATTCTTTAAATATTGGTCAGGATTCATCAGTTAAAGGTAACTAAATTACAGCCTTGTAGTCTTGTAGTAGTAATAGCATTGCTCCAAAATGTGGTCCACGGGGGACCAAATTCTCCTTCTGATGCATCCATCGTCACACCCATAAAAACCAACAAGTAATACACGCATCTTTAGTGATTATAACATACTGCATACTGATGGTAGACATGCTATTTTCATTACATTGTTCTTCATTATACCCCTGGGATAAGGCCAGTGTGGAAAGTCATCTTACCCAGATTGTTTTTAATTTGCGGAGTTGAGGTGTATAACTTTTTGGCTAGTAGGAGCCTCATTTCATTTCTTTGTTTGATGTTTGTTTTTGTTGGGGTTGTTTTTTTCTTTCCTAGAATTACTATCATAAAATGTATGTGCACAACCCAAATGCACAAACCTGCTGTCAGTCACAGGCTAAACTGACTGGTGTTAAAGTAATTGATCTGTTTAAGTTGAATTGCATCAGTGATAGTTGCGAGCACAATAGTAAACAGGACTATGACCGGTTTGTGAGATCAGCTTCTGACTTGCTAAGCAACACGGGGAGACAATGATGATGAACATGCAGCTGATCAACCCTCTGTAGATGGTTTAAAAAGTGAAGGCAATGCTAGTTATTTTACCACCAAGTTAATGATTATACTTCTAGACATCGCACCACAGTATATCTCATTTCCCAACTGATGAGTTCATGGCTGTCTTTCTTTTCTTTTTTTGCTACAGTGATCACAGTTGTTTTAAATGGACAATGATTTATTTAATGTTGACATCAGGCATCATACAGCAGGATTATTTTGATCCGTCCTTCTGCTGGAGCAGTGTGAGTATTTTTTCATGCAACAGAAATTATTTCGATGAATAATGCAGAATATGAAAAAGTGCAGAAAAAATACAAACTTTAAATCTGAGGTTTTTCAGAGGGCACTCCAAATGTTGGAACCATATTTGGCTCTAATTTTCCCCTCAATTCTACAGCCCTGTAGATTAAGTATCATATTTTGTACAATGGGTTTTTATCACAGTTAAAATCAGGATCTTTTTTTTCTTCTTCCCAAAAACATTTAAAAAATAAAGTGGCTCACTCACTTAAGCAGAATGTTAAATGTGTTACCTTCAACATTATAACGATATAATTACCAGCGCTGTGCTTTTCTGGTAAGCGTTTATTTAAAAAGAGCAGGGAAATTTTTTCCCAATCTTTCTGTGGTACCTCTTTGTCTTTCTTCCTCAGTGTCCCTACATTTAGTTCTCTGAGGGTCCGGACAGATAATTTGAGATGCCCTGGGGACTAAACCCTCAGACCAGACTAAAACAATTTCAGATTCTCTTCTCTCCATCTCCTCTCATTCTCCTTCTACCTACTTCCTTCTCCACATCCTGTTATTCTCTTTTGTGGTGCTCTAATTCTTTTTTTTTTATCCCATTTTCCTTCATTCCCACTGAGGGTGTGTGTGTGTGTGTGTGCGTGCATGTGTGTGTATCACTTTATGCAGTACAGTATGGGCGTGTGTGTGGGCTGGAGTTAGTGGAGCGTCTATAAGCAATTTCAGATCTTATCTCCCCCTCATTGTCTGCCTTAAGGAGGTCTTCTCTAGCTTTGTCTTCTCTTCCCCTCTTTAGTCTCGCTGGCCAATCCTTCCATCTTTCTACCTCTCTACATACTGTAATTTTTGTCCCCCTTTTCTTCTCCTCATCTTCTGCTTTGTCCCCGATTTATGCACTGTCCTTCCTTTCCCTACTTTCTCTTCATTCAACTCCCATCCCATCTGTTTTCTCTCCCTTATCTCTCTGTTTTTCCCGTATTTCTTCTCTCTGTAACTTGTTTTTCATGGTCATTTTCACTACATCAATACTCCCCCACCCTTCCATCTTCCTACCCAGATAATCACAGGGGACCAACCAGGACAAGGGGCCGGCGGCGAGACAGCCAATCTAATCGTTCATCTGATCAGTGGGCGCTTTACATCACCACTGTGACGCCCAAATAAGGTCCCAAAGGAACTTAACACCTCTTTTATCTCTCTGTCAGGGAGATAGTCTCTCTCCTCTCTTCCTTGTCCCCTCTTTCACTCTATCTTTGTCCTCACTCTCGCTCTGTCTTATCGCTCTCGTCTCTCAGTCTCAAACAAAGAACTCGAGGCAAAGACTTTCATGTGATACATGTTCTTTGTGTATGTGTTATTGTGACGAATGTAACGCGGTACTGATAAGCCCCTTCGCGGTGATTTGCCATTATTTATGTGAACCGTTAATAAGGTACACCTGTACAATGTAATGCACTCGAACACAACAACCGTGCAGTGACTCTTGTTTAGCCTATCTGTGATTTCCTTTTTAAGATAGGTGGGGCAATAAAATATTCATTGTGCAAAAAAATGTAAAAAATATATTTGGTGCACAAATGGCCCGTATTATCTAAAAATAAATAAATAAATAATCAAAATTAAAGTATGTATAGAAAGACATACGTATAGAAAACACATCTACTCGTGCATTTCACATCTATCATCGATATGCAGCTTATGATGTTTAGTTTTTCTAAACACTGTGTTAGTTCAGCTCACATGGTTTTAATTGGATTGCATTAAAATGAAAGATTCTTTAATATTATCTTCCTAAATGGAATACAGAAACCACAAGGAATAGTCATAGTTAAAGTAAAACTCTACTTTTCTTGCATTGCCTATTAGAAACAGTTTAATTGTGGCCATAAAATAGAAAATAATGCTTTCCATGAATGCGCAATTCTGTTGGAAAACCCTCAGTTCATACTCTTTTCACTTATCTCAGCAACACATTTAACTGGAAGAGGTGAAGTTTTTGGTCGCTGTAAGTAAATGACTTGAGGTATTACAACCCCAACTTTTTTTCTCAACCCAGTTATTACAGTTGCAATTAATCATTAACTTTGTGAAACATGTGAATGGAAATACTTTACAGGAAATCATTCATATGAGCAGGGGAAGATTCTTACCGTGTCATAGTCATACCACTTGGCATCTGGTATATATGCCCACACATGTTCCACACCCTGCAGAAAAAAAAGAAAGAGAGCAAATTGTTTTCACCATGGTTGCATATTTCAATGATGATCTATATGTTTGTTTTTACCCTGATGTCTAACATCGCATGCCTCTGATTTATGGAGTAGACATCGAAAGGTGTCCGCTTTTCGGTTTGTGTGAAAGCATGCCCGTGTTTGATTTGTGTTCGGAGTCAGTAACACTTGCTTCAGCTCGCTGTACCAATCCTGACACTTTAATCTTACAAGGCTAAACATGAGGAGAGACGCGACAATACACCACAAAGAGGATAGTTCTCGCTGCTATAAATCACTGCACCTTAAAGAAGATAAAAATGTTCCCATCAAGGAAAGTTATTTTAAAACTGCCTATCATCTAATATAAAGTTTCCACAAAGCCCTTGTGACATTTTAGTCTACAGTGCCGTGATGCAACAGATGATGGGAGAGACAGCATCAAGCGACGACTGATAGGTGACAGCCTTTGATGGCTTAAGGTGGTGGACAGACGGGGGCAATCAATAGATGAGCGCCAAGCCTTTGATAGCGTTGTCACTTCCCTGCTCTTTCTGACAGTACAGAACAGAGCCAGGGAGAGAGATAAACACAGAGGAGACATGGAAAGAAAGAGCAAACTACAGGTCCTTCTCAAAAAAAACCCAACAAAAAACAACAAATTGTGAAATATACTATGTCAACTGCGTAAGCCACGACCGTTCGTCAAAGGCAACAGCATCTTCTGAATGATTTTTTTTTTGTTTGTTTTTTTTCACATCCAGCAGCATGTCCAATTTGTGACCCCTTTAAGGCCTGTCATACAGGAATAAATAAAGATAATAAAAAAAAAAACAGTGGTGACAGAAAGACAAGAAAACAAATCAACAGGTGAGAGAATAGGGATCAAGGAATAATTTAACAGAAACAGAGATTCGAGAAGTAAAACTCCTCAAAAGTAGATGGTTAACAGTAAAAAGAGTAAAGTGTGATAAAGATATATTGCCATAATGGTCTGATAACCAAATTAAATGACTTAATGTCCCCTTTAGGGCCACATTCGCAGTTTGACGCAAATCACCTGTCACAACTGCTGCACAGCCCGCGGGATGACAGCCTGGGGAAATGGATGCTCCCCCTATACCTCGTTTTCTGGTGTCTGATTTGCTCGCGGCGCCTATCACTCACCCTGCTGACTAATGGGAAGGGACTGCAGGACTTAGCATGGCTGCTAACTGTGATTGAGAGGGACAAGGCATGAGGCCTGTATCCTCATTTGGAGTACTGAAGCTCAGTTAGCCATAAGGTAAGACTTGATCAGGTGGACCAAAGATTCATACTGGCAGAATGATCAGATGGTAGCGGAGGTAGATGAGAGGGGCAGGGGGGGGGGCCACAGAGAGAGAAAGTGTGAAAGAGAGGGAGAGAGTGAAAGAGAGATGGGATGAAATGAAATGGGATCACAAGGGTGAGTTGACAGCAGCTGATTAAGAGAATGCAGATGAGATAAGGGAGCCAACGTTTGATGAAAGGATGAGCTAAAAAGAAAAGGGAGTAATGGGCAAGAGGAGGGAGAGTGGAAGTATGGATGAAGACCAGAGGGGATGTCAGAGAGAGAGAGAGAGAGCAGAAGATCTCCCTAGTTTATCACAGAGATCAAGGTTAAAGCATTGACTGATCTGAATGATAGAGCATCATTAGAGAAAGGGAGAGGCAGGCGGACAGAGCGATAAATACAGAGATGAGAATAAAGAAAAAGGAGAGCGAAGGTTTGATTTGAAGGGTTCTTAAAGATCGGCTTGTGACCGTACTCAAGTGGTTGACACTATCGCTTTATGTGGCCCTTCAGCAGCGAACACGACACTGACCTCACCCCGCCTTAAAGCACAACACCACAGCTCAGCAGGTCCCTGCCCCCACCAGAGGTGAATATTTGGCCACGTCACTTGGAGAGAATCCTTATTCAAGTAGTGGTCTGAAATGCCTTAAAATGTGCTACGCTGTGGTCCTGTGTTACTCCTCTACAGCAGATTAATCACATCAAAACACAACTGAATACGCTGAATAATCTGCTGTTTGCATACATCGTGGAAATGTGGCCCTCACATATCACAAGAGAAGATAAATAAAAAACCATGAGTTACAGTGTCATTTCCATCAGATATAGACTCTTTCCATGCTAACATGTGCCCATTTGGAATTCCTCTGCCTGCTGTAAACTTCAGTATGCACAAGCGGGAGGGGGGAGGTTCAGAATAGGCCCTTGTCAGTATTGATCAAGCAGCGTGGTGCATGTTCAATGTTTTGCTGGGATTTGGTTAAACCTTCAATCTGAAAACATGAAATTTGTAATTCAAAAGCTTACAACTCTGTTTGTGGATGTCAGCTGAATTGATTTTAAATTTGAACTCCTTCAAGCAGAGACAACACGCACACATAAAAAAGAAATAGTAAGAAATATTTTCACTCCGACTGTATGTGTGCTTGTGATTTGAATGACTGGTTTCGAGCTGTCACAATGTGCCATGATGCAGTAAGTGAGAATCGCAGGGCTGAATTCATCCTCTGTGCATGTCAGGGGGCTGTCGGACGCCCCACTCTGCCCAAACTGTTGCTCGGTTTCACCCACAGACAAGGGCGATATGGTAAGCAAATGCTGAATCCAATTCCTGAATGAATTTATCTAATGTGTTGGAAATTCATGCATTTCTTCACCATCACAAGCAAGGTCTTTTTTTTTTTTTTCTCCTTCTTTTGGAAATGAACTTCTATTGCAGATGCTTCTGTCTATTCAATTATCAGGGCACTTTGATGGAAAGCACATTGCTTTTCAAGAGAAGGAAAATGAGTGGTTGGTCATAATTGATGCCAGTACCTAACACACCCACTGATAATGGATTTCTTTTTATCCTATCCTGTTTCCAGCTACACCACTGCAGTAAAATTGCGTGTCTGGAGACAAAGGGATCCCAAGTAGGCGCATTTGTCTTGATTCACAAATATAACATCCTGTACAGTCACCTTGTGGCTCTTCCTTTTCAAATGCATTCAGTATTCAGTATGGCTCAAACTCTGCACTGCAAGCATAAACCCTCCACCTCTTGTTTTAGAAACTTTTCCACAATCGCACTTGATTGAAGTTACTTTATCCCCGGCCCCACAATGAATCCAATTCGTTTTCCACTATTCTGTAATTCACAAGAGGCCGTGCTAAATTGCTTATTATTCAGGCCACTTTGACATGACCGCAATCGCTGCCTATGCACACATACGTATGCGCGTACAGACACACACATTTACATATGCACACGGCTGCACGCACACATTGAAACAAACACGCACAAACACAAGCGTACACACTTCTATCTACACTTCTAATCTGCTAGTAATGAGGTCAGTGCTCTCATTAGAGCTGAGAGAAAAGAGGGAGGATATGAAAGAGAGAAGAAAGGGGGATGAGAGGAGGGGAGGGCAACAAAGAAAATCCCATGTCATGTTTTCCCAGCGGAGGTCAGGGTGTGTGTGTGTGTGTGTGTGCACGGTATGAGCGAGCAGCTGATCAGCTCAGCCGCTCTATGCAGTGCATGCACGTTTCTATATGTGCTGCATACGGGAGCTTCTGCGTCTGTAGATATGGTGCAGAACATGCACGTGTGTCTTTTAGTAAGTGTGAGTGTTTGAAGTAAGTTCACGTGTGTTTTTTGTGTGTTAACTGACCGGTTCTAGTACAGGTGTGATGAGCAGGTATTTTCCCCAGAGGAACTGGCGATCCACTGTCCAGGTGCTATTGTCAGAGTAGAACCTAAGGAGAGACAAGTATAGAATCAACTACATGTGTTTATTTATGTATTTTTTTGTTATGTGCATGCAAGCAAAAACATATTTTAAGCAAACATTGTGTGGCCTGAAAACACCATGTTCCACTTTGCTCAGTCAGTTAATATCAGTTTGTATACCGCCACTGTTCTCTGAAAGCCTTTAAGGGAATAAACGATATTAATATGCCAGTCATAATGTTCTGCGGCTAATCAGTTGTTATAAATTCAGAATTTATCAAAGTTAAACAACACACGCGGCCTCAACAGCCACAAACCACCACTATCAGACAATTTACTCTTCTTTTTAACTTTTTAAAAAAAAAATTACAAACAAGAATAGAAATGTGTAGGCCTATATAGTTGCCTGACTTACGAATATCACTTTGTTTAGGCAGTAACACTCTTGTCTGCTGCTTTTGCGTCATGTTTGTTCATTGAAGCTGGGAGGCCGGTGACGTCCAATCACATTCTTGCAGGTGTAAAGCACGACCTGTCACTTGGTGTTTGTGCAAATTACGCTCATGTCGTACGCTGTTTGGTGTCACAGCTGATCTGACACAGCCTGTGCTTCTCATTTTGGACAATTTGATTAAGCAGTAAATGTTTGCAGTGTAATGTGCATCCTCTACTCCTCGCAGTGTGTGAGGTCAGCTCATAGACAGTCTATGACTCAGGTCTACTGACAAGGTTCCTCTCTTCTCATTTCCTAGTTTGTACATTGTTGATTCCTCTCCTTGTTAGTCCCTGTGAATAAAGGAGGCAAGGAAGAGCCACAAGGAGCGAGGATTCAAAGCAACAGACATCTTTTGCTTCTAACCACTGTTTTAAAGACATGTAACACAGCTGCATCATCTGTCTACTGTTTTGAGAACCAACTATATCGAATGATTTCTGTCAGGTGTCTATCTATTTGTCTGTCTAGTATTTTTCAAGATAGTGTGCTGAGATCGATTTCAGGGTCACGGGAAGGAGGACAGAGGAGACGAGGAGGCTTAGAATAAAAAAACGAGAGACTTTCATTTAAGGTTTCTTGTATTATCGTAAAATCTATAGGTGCACTGCCACTCAGTGCTACTTTGATTTGCAAGGAGGAGGGGTCCTGACTGGAACCAGAACAACATGGATTGTTATAAACAGTTAAGGCACAATTTGCTCATACCATTTTTTAAATTTATTTTTCATCAAGGAGTCTTTTAGTCCCACTAAATGTTCACATGAGGTCTTGTCCACTGATAAGATGGGCTTTGCTAGCATCCCAGGGGAAACACTGCAACATGCTGGTTAGCCAAATTTTGTTTTGAATGTTTCTCTTGAATCGGGATACTGTGAGTATTCTGCCACATGTTTATCTGAGACTAGCTGACATGTTGGATGAGTTCATTTCAGATGATAAGGGCTTGGTAGCATTCAGGGCTTATGTTATTCTGAATTGTGCGTCACAGTGGCTCAGTTGTTTTAGGGGTTCTAATGCACTCCTTGCTAATACTTACTAAGCAGCAAGCAATCATTTAGATTTACGGGATTAGCTCTTTTGGGAGCCCAATCCTTTCCGCAAAATCCTCGCTGCTGATTGGACTCTTTGAGAGCTCCCTCAGAGCCAAATCTACCTGTAAAAACCAGCTGCTGTAAACGGTCAATTCTCTTGATGCAAGTGTCTCAGTCTGATATGAAACATTCAGGAAGAGCACTGGAGTTTTGCTTGTATTCGCTGAATGACATCGGCTGTTTGCAATATCCTTTACAATTCACAGCTGTGTAGCTGATAACATCCCATCATATTATCCCATTATGTGGTTGGACAGTATGGTCTTTTTAGCAGCTCATGTTATCAGTTTTACTCTCATGATCATGCCAATACCGTGTGCTGCCACAGCCCCTTTTCACCACCCCAACTGTCTCCTATTTTGTTGATTTAACTAGGACTGATATGCACGTGTTTATTAAGGAAGGATTAGCTTTCTCAGCAGGATCTTTGTCGCTGGTTAGATTCTGTAAGAGCTGTCTCTAGCAGCAGAGCCTGTCCAGACATACCTAACTGTGTAGGGAGTCACAATAAAACCTTAACTGACTGGCTGTATAAGTCAAATAACTGTATTCAAAGTCCCACTGACATTTATAGCAACCCGAATAACTAAAGCTCAAGTCGTGTAATAGAAGCTTTCTCAACAGTTTATCATTCAGTTCACTTTATTTTTCCTTTCTATTATTACTATTTCTTTTTTTATATTCATTTTTTAAAATTTTATTTGGTAGAGCATTGGTAAAATTCAAGATAAAAACATTAAATGTTTATGTTTAGTGGCCTTTTATGAACTCCCATATCGTAATATACTGATGGATTTCCCATAAGCTCTTGATGTTTGCGGGGCTAAACATCACAGCTTGACAGAAGAGGCGAGTCCTTGAGCAACTTGAAGCTGCTGCAGATAGTTCAGACATGTTTGGAACAGCAGGAGTGAATACTAAAAGTTTTATATAGCACATATTCCATCTAAAAGGCTAAAAAAAAAAATCACTTTAAAAGACTCTGTTTAGCGACTATTCATAAAATCACACTGCAGTGACATCAGTGGCTGTGCAGATGCATTCTTTTTTTCTGTGTTTACAAAGTGAAGCTTAAATCAGAAAGATTTGAGTTTCCTAGAACACATTATAATGTAGAAGAAATACAGATATATTCAATAAACTGCAGTGACATGCTTTTACCAAGACAGATGACAGAAAGTGAGAGATTACATTGAGTTAAAGAAGAAGAGAAAGAGAGGCTACTCCAGACATGATGTCATTGCTTTCTATAGTGTTTGCTCTGAAATGATCAGTTCCTTTATGCAAATGAGCAAACTGGTACAGACTTAAAGCAGTATCAAGAATGACTTACTCATGCATGACAGGACGGACAACAGTCTCCCCTTTGGTATGGGCATTGTAGAAGAGTGTGTAGAGGTAAGGCAGCAGTGTGTAGCGTATCGTCAGGTAGTGTTTGGAGCTGTTCACCAGCTGTGAGTCAGCGCCATATGCAGCTGGATCCTGAGGCTGGAGACAGAAAGACAGATTAAGCAGATGCAGTTAATGGATGGGAGGAAATGGGGGAGATAAAATGAAGATTTGTCTTTTATCTACCAGCGAGCAAAATGGAAAGAGATGGAAGGACAAAAGAAGCCATGGTTCTATATAGCTGTCAAGAAAGAGTGAAACTCATTTTTGAAATGGAAATGAAAAAAAGCCGATCACACTTGTTTCAATAACTGCTTTGGATTGTATAAACTAGACTTTTTAGCATTGTCAGAAGGTGGCGGTGTATTCTAGAGGTGGAAATGGAACAACACCAACTGTTTGGCATCTGCTAGGGAACTGCAAAGAAGAGGAAGATATAAACAAAACTTCTGCTATTAATGAGAGATAAATAGAAAGAAGTCTTGAGGAATTGTTTTTAATCGGGCATGTTGTCTTTAATGTCAGCTGGTAATAGGCAGCGTTCATGTTGTATGAAGGCCAGGACAACAAAGGAAGTAGAAACAGCTAAACAGTCATGTGAATGTTAATTATGTCAGTACTTGTTGAAAAAAAAAAAGTGCTTTCATCTCTACACATGCAAATGTTTCCTAAATTTTTTTTTTTAAAAGAAGTCATATCCACCGTATGTTTTGTTTGTTTGTGTTGTTTCTTAAAAAATAATAGGGCTTTTTGTTTTTTATAAAAATTTTGGCATTTCTATTGACTTTTTCATTACTTAAAATGTGCAAAGCTGCAAACACAACTGGAGACGACTTGTTTGAATGACAGGAAAGGTGAAGAAGATGGACGAAAACGGGCAAAGAAAAGAAAACCAAAGAGCTATTTTCTTTAACATTACCAATTTATTTGTGATAAATAAATGGACATTCATGTCATTCAAAATGAATGAAATATAAATTAACTTTACATAGGACAAATCAGAAAGTAGCTTTGGCAAAGACAATGAGCAAAAGAAAAATAAATGAAGGGAAGAGGGAGAGAAAGAAACAGAGGTATGATTTAATTTCTGTGATAGTGGCGAGTGAGAGGGGTGATTAGCTGCTAACAGGCCGTGCTCCTCTCATCTGGCTAATCATTTATGCCCTCGGCACCTCTGAGAGTCTGATGAGAACTTGTGTGCGTGCGTTTGTGTGTGTGTGTGTGTGTGTGTGTGTGTGTGTGTGTGCGTGTTTGGACCGGCCTGCATGGGCGTGTGATGAGTGCCATGATTAGGGCAAAGCAAAGGTCACACGTTAGCTGTCTCGTTTAGTGGAAATTGTACATCAAATTCATCATCATCATGTCCCTGTCCTCCAGCAAATACTACACCCCACGCCTCACCCCTCACCCACCCACACACACCACATCTACCCCCCCTTTACCTCAGCTCTGCTATTTTTGCAGCGGTGATGAGCATGGAAATGTCACATAAAGAATGTTGTGAGAGCATCAATTTTCACGCTATTCAGCGCCGGAGACCGACTTTTCTCCCAAGTTATTTGTGCTCATCTACGAAAATAGCTCAACAGCAACATAAACACTGTTTTTTAAAAGGCTCAGCAGGCACTTTTCCTGTGTCATTCTGTGACATTAAGCCCCTGATCTGACATGTGACATTCAGATTTAGATTGTGCTTGCAAAGGATAAACATAAATATCGCTCTATCTTCATTATAATACAAAATGATTTTTTCTCAACCTGTTGAAAGGGGTTGTCATTATGAATCAAGTGTGCTTTGACCTAGAAAAGGTTTTAAATTACCTGACCTTATTGACCATTCTGTAAATCGTTCCCCTGACGAGTGATTGTCCGGTCATAGCTTAGAAGCTGTAACTATATACGGTAAGGCTGGTTGGATTTCTCTGCATTATGAAGCTGCATAGATGAGGCAAATCTATCCTCATGGTCTGCTCTGAAATTGGGTAAAATTGGGCAAATCTGGTATGTTTGACCTAAAACCAGGGGCTCTATTACATTTTTGGCTAGTTTGAACTCATGAGGTTAGGATTTAATGAGGCCACATTATTGTTCATTAAAAAAAATCATAATAATAATGCGTGATTTCGAATCTCAGGAAAATGAAGACACCAAAAAAGACATCACTTTCTACATACGCAACTAAACCCACTGTTCAAGTTGAGGAGATTATAACACTACCCAGCCTATGGGTGCCACATAAGCTGAAGCTGCCTTGATATTCTACGATGCGTTTATCCACCGTATGGCACATCAAATTATATTCATTTAACCTAATTTAGCATTAACGCTAGATTTCACTAATATCGCAACCACTTTGAGTAGCATCAGTGTAGCATTGAGCTCCCAAGCTACATTTTACTTCAGGCTCAGATGCTCCAGTGCCCTCGGCAGCTGTTATGATTTTCAACAGCTTCCAATCCCAGTGTTAAACCCAAAATCTGAGGTCCCACTGCTCCCGTTTTATCACACAGTTGTACTCGCGCCGGTGTAATGGCTACCGAAAGAAGTTTATATTTTTAACCGCTTGCAGTTTATAGCACCTATACAGTGTTATGAAATGAGGGGTACACCCCGCAGCACTTCAGACCAAACGGCGGCCGTGTGATTCATAAATCTAAAGCTGACAGTCTAATATAAGAATTGTAGGACAAAATGCCTTTACAGTACCTTGTAGCCCTCAGCGTTGTGATTCCGACTGAAGGGATAGAAGGCCCCCACCTGCATCCAGCGACGACATAACTCTTCGCTGGAGTCATCAAAGAAGCCACAGATGTCAGCGCCGATCTGAAACACGAGGAGATGACAGGTTGACATTTAGCCAGAACCGACAGCATATTTCCACCGGTGTCCTTAATGTTGTTTTATAAGAAACATAAAGCTGCAATGCCATTTGAAAAAGTCGGAGAACAGGAGAATGTTGTGGGGTGCCTTTATTTTTCATTTTATTGCTTTGTTTCTTTGGCGCTGCAATGATATGGGAAACACTGTCAGAGAACAGGGGATGTTGCAGAGTCCATTTGGAGATATTGAGAATAAAATAAAGCATCTCTGCATTATTAATGTCAATCCAGGGACCTTCAGAGGGGAGACACCTGAAGTGGAAGTCAACAAATCTCCTGCAGTACTTAAAAAAAAAAAGTGACACCGAAAGCAATAACTGGCCATATATTTGTCTTTTGAAATACCTTTTCTTGATGTTGGTTCAATTCAGTCAAGATTTACTGGCAGACAGTAGATGTGGACAGTAATCTTTATTTACATTAATTGCACAATGGAGTCCAAGAAGGAGACTTCCGTCAAAGGCCAGTCCACAGAGACTGCTTGCCTTCTATTGTTTACTACTGGCCACATTTTACAACAGACTCAATGGGAGGGAATCGATCCAAATCCCGTTTCTCCTGCTTTCTCTCTCTCTTTGTTTCTGTGTGTGTGTGCTGAAGAACCGAAAATATGCCTGACATAGTCCCACCAGGAGTAGTTGGCATCTATAAGACCACCTGACGTGCACAGCTGGAGGAGTGTGTGTGTGTGTCCATGTGTTCGTGTGTGTCTGTGTGTGTTTGCATGTGCGTCCGACCCCCTGTTGTTTTCTTACTACTGTTTGCCCTCTGCGCACTAGAAATACACACATGCAAGTAAACAGTGCAGAGTGTACTTGGGTGCTGACTAGCAGTGTGTGTGTGTTTCCCCTCCCGAGTGTGTTGTTGGATGTGGTGGTGTTCCCGCAAAGAGAACCAGTGTTCTTCCAGACAGCTTAATGGATCTCATTCCAGAGATACTTTTTCTTGCCGGCCCCTCTGTCTTAATGCTTATGTCTCAACATAGATCTCAATTAGCAGCTGAATACGCTTTAAAAAGGCAAAAGAGAGAGCCATCCCATTGCCAGAACGATCCAGTGAAACAGATCCAAAGCTGTGACTGGCTGAAGCTAATGTTCTCAGATTTTTTTTACAAGAGCTTCTTGTAGCAAATCTACATACATCGTAGCATTTCTGTCTCTTTAAAAAAAAAAAACTCTATATATATATGTAGTGTACCTAGGTACATTGGTTCCTTGTAGTTCCATTAAGCCCTGCCATGCAGCTGGTTAGCCAGACGGAGAATAGTTTTTTCTTGTCAAACTCATTTACCTCAAGCATGATATGAACACTATTTGACCCTCTGTGAAGGTTTGCTACTCACATAGGGAATTCCAAAAAGCCCGAACTCTAGCATGCCAGGGATGGCCCATTTTATGTCGTTCCAATTGGCACCATTGTCCCCCAGCCAGTGACCTGAATATTTCCCCACACCTGGAAAGGAGGAGCGGGTCAGCAACAGGCTACGGTTTCCTCCGAACACTTGTTGCAGAGCTCTGTGGGATGGAGAGGAGGCAGCAAGGAGAGAGACAGAGGTCATTAAGATTAAAAAAGGACATAGGGACAGGAAAAAAAAAGACAGAGCACAAGGGAGAAACAGATATCAAACCCACATACACAAACACACATGCTCACAGCGAGGATAAAGATTAAGAGGTATGTCACAGGGACACAGTCAGACTGGTAGTACTTTCCCAACCCCACTGTACATTATTATTTTGTTTCAGGAGAATCAAAGCAGCATTGATTTCCATGACAATACAAAGCCCTGATGATGTTTACAAAATGTGTCTCCTGCCAATAATACATTTTAATTAGTGGACGGAGGTAGAAAAAGAGGGAGAGTGTAAGAAAGGAGACAAACGAAAGATGAGTTAGCTCTAATACAAGGAGCAGTGAGTCAGCAAATCAACTTCACAGGTTATGTCACGGTCTCCAGTGCAAATGCCTGTGTGAGGCCACGTGTAAGCAAGTGCTGTGTTTTTCTTTATCGAACATTGTGTGTACATTTTGCAGTATACACTTTGTTGTTGTGAGAGGTAATGATGTACCTCTGGAGAAATGATCCACAAAAACAAAAAAAAGACAGCGGGGAATCTGTGGCATAATATCATTCTGAAAGACACCCTTCTCCCTGTGCAGAAATAGTATAAAGGAACCTCGAGGATACATTAAGGTAAAAAGCAATACCTTAAAGGTTAGAGTGGCTATATGCATTGATTTTTATTGGCACCCGAGGTACATCTGAACATCTCACAATAGCTGCAGAATGTTACAATATGTGGCACTGTATTGTTGGATAAGTGGGGAAAGAAGTGAAGAAACCTTTCTAATACTGACCTGAGATACTGTGATATCTAATGGGAACCTAGAATTTCATCAGCATCTTGGGGAATTTGCTTCTCTGGCTTTAGGGAGCAAGCTTGTGAATTTTTCATTTTTAACCTCAACATATAAAATCGTACTTATCTGCATCAAGGGGTGTGCATTGCAATGGGTTCATTTTACGAGGTGTTGTTTTCCATCAGCTGAAAAACCACCGGTGCAGGTGTGTGTGTGCTGCTTTCTAATTGATGCAATTTCCCAAAGCATCACCATCAGTGCATATTAGGACACTGGCAACTGATGTCACTTGAGCCTTGTTTGAGATGACAGGCCGAGAGCTTGGAGACGATAGAAATCCCTATGGAGATGAATATGACTACAGCCTCTATACCTCGGTGACATTTAAGTGGTCTGCGTTTTGTGGAGAACACAAAATATCCCAGGCTTGATTATCCTGTTTTGCTGGTTCCATCAGATTTGTCTTTGAAGGACGAATGTGATGTGCTCCGATGAACTTTCTCTGCTACTCTCATGCTGCTCTGTGCTGGTTTGCGTTTGCTTTGAACCAGACAAGACTTACTTCATTGTATTCTTTGTGTGACACCTAAACGCAGTTATAGAGGCAATGCAAACTTGTGCATTGCATACTTAACAGGCAACCTGAATGTAGGATATGCAAAAGCAGGCGTTCCACCTGCATGCACAATGCACAAGGCATTATGTTTAAAGTGAAATGATTTGTAGGTATAATAGGCCAATTGTAATCAAGCTCTATGCGTTCAACTCGCTGATATCCATGTATTCATGAGTTTCCCTACTTCAGTCTACGGCTTAGCCATTTATCACAATAAAATGTTTAATTTTAGCCATTATCAATTATTTTTAATGACCTATTTTTAATAAAGAATGACCTGTTTTTAATAAAGAGAGACCTATTTTTAATAAAGACCTATATTTACTGACCTATTTTTCGTAAAGATGGTTTATTTTTAACTTAACCACCTAACATTGAATTGAACCACTATATTTATGAAGGCACTGATGTAGTAACTTTAATCTCAATGCAACATAGAAAATTTACCGAAATTTAAAAAAAAAAAAAAGAAAAGAAAAAAGGAATGATTTCACTTTACATAAAGAATTACATAAAGTAAACATGTAAAATCAACTTTGAAGTAGTCCACATGTAACGTCAGTACAACACAGTAAATAAACTGATCTTGAATAAATCCTTGAACTTAGTGAAGCATTTTATGTCAAGGCTTGTTCTTGAACTTTGCAGCTTTTTGTTGCACTTTCATGTCAAAATGCATCTAATGCAGTTAAGTGAAACATTTTATCAAACAATTTTCTTTTTGCTCTTGTTAAAGTATTTATTTTACAAATCACTAGTATTTTATCACCTAGATCCTAACCCTACCTCAGTGATTAACCCCTATGATTACACTGATGCGCCTTTTAATGTTTTATCTACATATTGGAACCTTAAAGGTCCAGTGTGTTGGATTTAGTGGCACACAACAGTGAGGTTCCAGTTTGCAACCCTCCCTTTTAAGCATGTAGGAGAAATCACGGCGGATGCTTCTTCAAAGTAAAATGCAAAAAAGGTCCTCTCTAAAACCAGCGTTTGTTTTGTCTGTTCTGGGTTCCTGTAGAAACGACATGCCAAACACAATCGGCTCCATGACCGGCAATTTGTTCCCTGAGTAGATGTGAAGGACTCATTCTAAACTAACAATTTGTAGTTACAGGTGATTGTGCACTGCTGAAAACACAATTATGAATATTTTATTGCATTCCCACTAATAGACCTTCTATTAGATCCGTAAACACTGGTTCTTTAAACTGCTTCAGTGCCAGACCCAGATGAGAAATTCATTCAAGCACCCTGGGAACTGAGCTCATTAAAACATATTTCTGCACATATCACATGGGATCCAACTTTCAATTGGTCTGCAGGAGTCACAGGCAATGATTTAGTGGAGGGCATAAGTCACTGCACTGCACTGAACTGACAGATTTCTCTGTTGCACTTTTGCATGTCAGCTCCATAATTCTGTTCCAGGGCCATTGCTCAATACCCTCTGATTCTACAGCACTTGATGTTGGAGATTGTGCATGTTACACTGTTGGAGTGCATTTAGAGTTTGCCAATGCCTCATTGCTCTGAAGGGGTGGCAGCAAGTTGGCCTCCATAGCGCAAGCTGGCCAAACTGCTCCTGTCATTGATTATGGATGCACTTACTTTTCACTAGCCAGCACCATAGAGTAGCCATAGAGACTGTGGACATCATAGTGGTCCCCCCAGGCCTGCTTGGCATCCATACACAGAGTCTTACTGTACATCACCTCATCCAAAATTCCTGGGGGAGAGAAAAGATGAAGGAGGTGAAGAGATGGTGCAAGGTGAGACGAGGTATGAAGTGAATACAAAATATAGGGTGCGGTGAGGGAAGTAGAGCAATGACGGGGGAAAAAAAATAAAGAGGAAGAAGGGGACGGAAGGAGCGAGAGAGACGTTGATGTATACTGCAATAGGAAGTGGGAACAATGAGGAAATGAGAGAAGGAAGAGCGATGGAGGAAGAGGATGACTAAGGAGGAGTGCAATAAAAATGGTGGCATCTGGGGAGCATGCCTTTTCCAGTTATGATCATCCTGTCTGGGACACAGTCGGAATAAAAGACATGGCAGAAGAGTCATTTTCAGAATTCTCCACCAGGGACTCACTATTTTAGATGAGTTTTCCTCTACAGTTGAACTTACTTTATGAGCTATTGTGGATAATTTATCAGCGTGTGCACAGGATTTAGGCTACAAGCTGCACAGCTGTGACAACCTCTGTTTCTTTGTATTAGGGTAACCTTAGAGTACTTTGTTCAGGCTGTCATAAACTATAGATTTGTTTTGTAAGCAAGGGCAAGCAAACAGTGGGAGGAAGGTTTGAGACACAGCCACATCCCTGAAGGAACACGTGTTGTTGGTATCAAAACTGCATAAGGACAGCAGATATCTCACACTGATTATGACTAAGAACGTAGAAAATAAGGCGACTTACTTGGAGTGAAAGGAGGGTAGTTGAATTTGTTATCAGCACAGCCGTTTATCGATCCTTTCACGAAACTAGCCACCTCGTTCATGTCCTGCAAGTGTATACGTTTGAGTATGAGGATAAGTTTGATAAAGCACATCTGTAAGTATCAAATTATCATTTTAATAAGTAATTACAGCTATCTATGAGATGCTATGACAGTGTTGTGAGTCCAGGATTCCTCTAGTATATGATAACATGCTGATCATTCACTTTTTTTGTTTGTTTCAAGATAAGAATTAGTAAAGTGACCTGGGTATTGAGATAAAGCTATAATGGGAAACTGTGTGTACTGTAGCAAAGAGTCTAAATAATGAGAATCAAACCAAATTTTTAGATGAGGAATCATGAACAGCACAATGTCAGTTCTTTTTTTGTTAGTTGGTTCTTCTCATGGCCCCGGTGTTCAACCCACAGCCAATGAAAGTTCAAAAGAAACATACAAGCTCACTGCCCTTCGCTGTGTGTTATGAGATGGAGAATAATGCCCAGCTTGGAATTGTTACATATGAAACTGCTCATCAGTGAATGCACACCATCATTTGATGTATTTTATAACCAACTTACAATCCAGAGGGCATCATGGTTGATCTCCCGGTGCAGTCTGGCATACTCATCCACCCACCAGTTGATGCAGTCTTGGTTGGTGTAATCTGGAAATACGGTCTCTCCTGGCCACACCTGTGAGTTAGAAGATGTCAAATGCAGTTTGTTTATATGCACTTTTTATGAACTTTATGGGCAAAGTCACAAGCTTGTCTAAACAGTGGAATACAGTGCATGTAAATAATATGCTAAGGCAATGACCAGCTGAAATGTTTTGGAGTAGTGAGCCCCCCCATGGAAACAAAAACTGTTCCTGTGAAGGTGCTGGTGAAACAGTTCAGATATGTGGAAATGACATTAAATAAAAAAAGAACAGAAGAGAGATGGAGTAAAGGAGGGGGTGGGATTGATGAGGGAGAGATGGCAAAGGAGAAAGGGGATAAAGAGACAGATGAGTTGAGGAAGAGAACAGAGGAGAGGAGAAATCGATAATGCAATAGAAATCTCTAGACGTGACTGTGTGTTAGAAGTCGTCCTTAATGACATGTATTGAGAAAAATGATTAATCCACAGAGAAAGGCAGAGATTTTGTGTGTGTGTGTGTGTGTGTGTGTGTGTGTGCATTTCTGTGTGTGCACCCTTTCTGCAGAGCACAGTAGATATTAAATCTCAAGGTTGCTCCACTCGAGCTATCTTTTACCTTTACTTCCACCGGCAATAACTTTACAACCCGGTTTGTAGCGAAGACATGAATCACGCTTACGTACGCTCATGTGAGCGTGCGCACACATGCGCTCACACAGAGAGATTTATAGGCAGATGTTTTTGGCAGGTGGTCAGAACTCCAAGGTCAGAGCTTATTGATAGTCGCTCGCAGATGCCATCTTTCTTTTTTTTTTAAGCCATTCCTTCCTTTAACTCCAGATTTTGTCATCTCCAGCTGCGTACTAATACTGACAAGAGGGTAAACACTTTCAACAAATCTTTTGACATTTGTAGCTGCATATCTCACTCTATCTCTGTTTTTTTTTATGCTCTTTTGCCTGTCAATCTGCCTATCTGTGTTATTACTCGTCTGTCTCTCGTCTCTCCAACCTGTTTCTATCTGTCCCTCTTCTCCAAAGTGTCTTTCTACCGTCCATCGTGTCTACCTTCTTTTGTGTGTGTGTGTGTACCTGATAATCTGTCTTTTTGTCTCTTGTCTCTCACTCTGGTTGGCTCCCTGTGTATGGCCCTGTCACCGTGCCACTCAGCAAGACAGCCAGTCTGTCTCCCTGCACATTTCCCCTCTAATCTATTATTTGTGTCTGTCTGTCTGCCTGCACCTGCCTTTTTCTCTGCCCATGTTTCTGTCTGTCATCCCTGCCTTTAAACCCACACAGATTCCCTTTTCTCACCCCGCTACTTTGTTTACTCCCATCCATTTTTACGTCTGTGGTCTGAACAGAAATATTCATCTGTGTGAGTGAAGTCCTGCTATGATTTTACTCGCACACTGAAACATATGGGCCACCAGGAAAAAAGCTTTCATCCTTATCTTTGGAGGCAATTAGCTGTCTTAAAAGCAGAATAAATACCAGCCCGTCGCTGCATCTCCTTTATTACTGATACAGTGACAGCAAAAGGTCTTTCTGCAAAGACCCCACTGTTTTCATAACCAGGACACATGCATTCATATGGAAATAAACTAGAATCAATTATCATCACACACATGCGTGCACAAACATAAAGCACAAAGAGCTATGTATGGCTTTTTATTTAGAGAAATGGATACTCATAGATGAACACACGGACTGTGTGTGTGTTTTTTTTTTAATCTCTGTCTCTCTCTCACACACACACACACATACACGCTTGCACACCTAATCTGTGATGTGGTGATGCAGAACATTTTAAGATTAAACACTAATGCGGAATCAATGCATATGTTTGACCCGCAATAAACGGCATGAAAAAGCGATTAGCAGAGGGACCGAGCTTAATCGTGTGCGTAATCAAAAGCAACACTATAAAAGCATGGGAGCAACATGCTTTTACTCCCCCACCTCCACTGAGCTTTAAAAACGTGCTCTGTGGGGAAAAGGATGAAAAAAAATAAAGAAAAAAAGAAACTCCGCTCGAACTTCCATTATGGAATATTAGTTGGTTTAATGGAGGATGTGAACCAGTCGCACATGCACATAGCAGATGGATATATTTATGTTTATGTTACGTGATGTTTTGTGTAGTGCCAAAAATCAAATACGCAAAAATGTAACTGACTTGCAACACAGTTTGATTTCTGTGGATGATGGGAACTAATGCTGACTCTCATTAATGGTTTATCAATATGCCTAAAACCCAGTGCAGTCTCCTCAGACTCATGATGAGTATCTATTCCACCAAAGCAAAACTGTAGCCAGCGATGTGTTCAGACTATGGTGTTATAAGAATGCTTCATTATTGTTTATGAGGTGAAAGTAGCACATAAACTGTTAAAGTGAGGAGTGGTTTCTTGTAAAACTGTCTGCTGATTGTGTGAGTTTCTGCAGTCAGAATCCACTGGTTCAAAGTGTCTTGAAGAAGTAGGTTCTGGGTTTGAAGCGGCTCGGTGGCCGGTGCATTTTTATGTGGAGTTTGCATGTTTTCACTCTTCTTCAGCTTCCTCTCACAGTCCAAAGACATACATGGCAGGTTAATTATTAAGTCTAAATTGGCCCTCAGTGTAAGTGTGAGCATGCATGGTAGTGTGTCTCTTTGTGTTAGCCCAGTGATAGACTGGAGACCTGTCCAGGGTGCCCCTCGCCTAACGTCAGCTGTGATATACTCCAGCCACCCGCAACCGAGACCCTCTGGACAGTAAAGCGGGTAAAGTTAATCAATAAATGGATGGATAAATGGAAGACCTTCATTACTTTGAGCAAGTAACATTGATAAGTATTACTTATTACTCATTTTTAGGTCGTGGCCTGAGGCTGTGAAGATTCATTGAGATGCCGCTCAAAAGCATTTCTGTCTTTTCAAACTGCAGGTTTTAAGTGGGTCCTTTCCGTTTTGTTGTTTTATAATCTGAATAACTTTCAAAACTTGAACAGTAAGCATCAATAGTATCACTGAAGTGTTCGAGAGTATTCAGGCTAAAAAAGCAAATCCAGTAGTAAATTTAGAAGGTATGAAATGCAACAAAAATGTTAATTTCAAAAGCTTAAACTCCCTTTCATTTAACACAAAATCTTACTTTGTGTATCAAAATTGAATTTTTTTTCTTTTCTCGCTCTCTACTAAATTTAGAGTTTGATGGGGGTTTTTTTTGTTTTGTTTTGTTTTCTGTTTTTTTGTTAAATCAGTATGCCCCTCTATGCTCTACAGGTTTATATCTTTACTTCTTTACTTTACAGTATATGAATGTGTAGCAATAAATGGGTAGCACCTCTTGACACCTCTGTTAGAACTCAATTTTCAGGTTGAGTCCTACAGGTCTCATTTTACTCGCTTATTAAAAACCTTTTGCACCTAAAATGTAACTCACCTCTCCTCGCAGAGGAGTTTTCCCATCTGAAAGAGTGACCCAAGCGTTCTTCGAGGTTCCGCGGTCATAGGCCTCATATGGAGCGCCCCCCAACCTCTTACTAGTGGCCACTGCAGGATCCTGTGGGCAAAAGAATACACTCATAAGGATCTTTAAATAAAGGAAGAACTGCTGTTTCTGATGAGTTTTTAATCAAGAATTTTTTCTCTCATGTAGCAGACCCAAAAAACACATGTTTAATCATAACATGAGGTCTGCACCAGTAGTAATACAAAAAAATTGGTAGTGTTTTTTTTTTTTTGTTTTATTTTATTTATTTATTTTTTTTTAAATCATTTGCTGATGAAAAACACTCTTCATTATGGCTGATGGGCATCAACATGACATTACAGCACCAACATGTGGCCTGTAGTACAAGATTTAGAACTCGCCCAAACCCTGAAATGCATTGTAAACTGTCAGCAGCATTTTCTGTAGGAGCACTGGGGTGTACAATGTTTAACTTCTTTGTTAATGTGTCAAATACACAAATTGTTTTACTAACAAAGAAATGCATCTTACCAGGATGAGGATGTATTTCTGTCCCTTCTCATGGAGGTATTCAGCAAACTGAGGCAGCTCACTGAATTTTTCTTTGTCATAGGTGAAAATTTTCTTGTCTTCCATGTAGTCTATGTCAGTGTACTGGATGTCCTGCAAAGGGAGACGGAAAATTATGTCAGTATGAGGGCCTTGTGCACGTGCAATACCTATTCATATCTTATAATTTAGGAAAAACCTAATCCAACGTTTCTAAAATGTTCCATAAATGATCTGTTTCCTAGTCTTGTTTTGAGACTTGTGCATTTTATAAATACCGTGATGAGTTTACTTAAAATAGGTTCAATGTCATTAGATATTCAAAGCCTAATTGAAAATGCTAAAATGCTGGCATGGCTTCCATCTATTAAAATCACATTTGCATCTTGCATGACTGTAATATATTCAAAATCGCTCTTAATACTTCTTAAATGCACCCACTCGTGTTTTCGCTTCTGCACATAACTTAGGCGCATCCACTAAAAAAAAAAAAACAGCATCTTCAGTTTGACTTGAATGTGTCCTTCTCGCAGTATATTCCCATCTCAGCATAGCTAATAAAAGCACTATTAAACATTTGCCATTTGAGCCTCACTGGGAAGAAAAAAAAAGTAGCTGCCAGATTGTCTGTTGACCTGCCTTTGCTGGACTTTTAGAGACCTGATATGAGTGCAAACAACTTTGCTAATGTGCTGCTAAACCTTGGGAGGACAATGGGAATGTTAACACATTCTTCGTCTTTTGCCAGGGTGTGACTTTATGCTTGCTCTGTCTGTCTGTTGCCTGCCAAAATCTACTTCATATCAATGGAGCAGATGGTTTGGAAGGCTCTGCCAGATCCTTCCTCTAATGGTAATCAGCTCCAGACATATTAAGGAGAATGTGATAATACCCTCTGTGGTCTATCTAGTGGTTATCAAACATGTCCCTGAGTACAGCAGGAGAGGAAGCAGCTGCATCCTAATGTCTTTGGATATGAAAGAGAGATTGGAGATTATTAGAGTGAAATATTGGGATGGGTGGGAAATTTGTTTGTATTTGATCTTTGGATAAGACTGAGTTCAAATCACATCCTTGATTGGTGCTGCTGAGTTGTGCAACAGTTGGAGTGTTTTACAGGGACGCATAAAGATTAGGAGTTTACCTTGGTAATTAAAGAATAAAAAGTACATCAAGTTGGCGCTTCGTATGGGAGGGACTTCTTACAGTTACTATTCACAGAGCCGACAGAGATAAGCAGCAAGGCTCATTCCCAAGAAAATGTCAACCACAACTGGTATTTATCAAATGTCTCAGAAGGGAAGAGGTGTTGGAGTAGTTTTAACATTCAGATCAGGATGAATGAGATAATGAAAGGAACTCGGTCGATTGATCTTTGATCAGCGCTAACATTCAGTGACGCTTGAAAAATAGTGGTCCCGGGATTGAACCTATAGAGCCCAGCAGACTCTCCATTATTTGACAGAAAGCTGGATTACCCCGTCTAAGCTAAAGGCCATCCCTATCACTCTGACTGTCTGTCGAACTCCTGCTTCAACCTTCATATCACGTCTCCACAGATAGTGTAGTGGTTAAGGCTCTTGCCTCTGGAACCACACGGTGGTGCATGAGTGGTTCAAATTTAACAAGGGGTGCACAAGGTGAAGTATCGATTACCTTCACTTCCCCCCCTAAAAGCTATAAAGCTGTGGTAGCATCTATAAAAAAAATAATAATAAAATCCCCCTTTATACATACAATGCATTATCACTACGTTTTTTTCAGACCATTGGCTTTTAAAATTCAGATTTTTTTTGGGAAAAGAAAAATCCTGCCAATGCCTCCCGACATTAGACATCTGAGGTCAAATTCAAAAACCTGCTTGTGTTTTCTCCCCAGTTTGCATTCCCTGCTTTGCAAAAGAAAATAAATGACTATAAAGACAAACCAGTATCAATTAAACCAAGTCACATGCAGGATTTTCTCACGTTGTTTGTAATTACATCAACTTTGACAGGAGTTTATTATACTGTTTTTTTTTTGTTTTTTTTTATTGTATTGCAATAGAGTGCAGGCCAATGCGTGACAAAAATGTTACATGTTTGAGATTTATGATATAGTTAAGATGCTGAGTGTGAAAGTGCAAACAACACTGAAATTCACGACATAAAAAAATACAAAATAATACTAAAAGAAGGTAAAAATTGTGAAAAAAAAAAAGTTGTTCCACAGTTTATCTTGAGAATATGAGGACAAAACCACAGATGTGAGTGGGGGCAGTGGTAGCCAGATAAAATACAGAATGCATGAAGACACTTTAAAAATGAACAGAAACAGAATTCAAAGCAAGAAGACTTACATATGGGAGGCTGACGGCACGGTTCCTTTCCACTGTTGCCTTAACTTCAGCCAGGCTGCCGTAGTTCCATCGAGAGAGCTGGAAACCCAGTGACCAGTAGGGAGGAATAACTGGCCTGCCAATGAGCTGGACAGCATAGTTGGACATATTTTTAACATGAATACTGTGACAAGGCAACTCGCAAACCAATTTTACACCACAGATTTACCCAGAAATTCTGTCACACATTTGTAAATTTAGAAAATCACCTCAAGGAACTCCTGCACCACTTGCTCTGGTGTGTATCCGAAGACGATGTAGAAGTCAAGGACTCCTCCAATAGTCCTGAAGGTCACCGCTGGGGCAGGCTGCAGAGTCACCTCTGGAAGAAGATGAAGACATTGCAAGCTTAATCCTAATATTATTCTTAACTATCAATCATAATGCTAACATGACCTGTCAAGCAGCTGTGAATCGCTATTTTGACAAATTTCTTTGTCTGTTTTTATTCTTTGGAGGATTTTTTTTTTTTTTTGTTCAGACATTATGCATCAGTCAAGGCAGTCCACAAGAACAAAAAAAAAAAAGCTTTTGTATAAGACTATAGACATGAGCAAGAGAAACATGTCAGTGGGTATTCCCAGTGCTTTCAGTCATCTCCTTCATGGGATAAAACAGCCATGCAATATTCTCTTTGATTTGTCAGCACAATTCTTTGATTGAGGCAACAGTAGATCCATTTGTGTTTGGAGGATGAAGCATTACTGTGGTTCATCTGCCCTTGAACCATGTTGAAAAAGGTTGTTTTTTTCGCCCAACGTTCTAGCTGCCAATGTATGCATAAGTGGGTGCTTTGTGCAAGTATTACATCGTATGATCATGCAGTTTGTCATGTTTGCGTCCATAAGGCAATATATCAGTGCAACTGTATGTAGTGTGTACAGCTTCCACTCTCAAAATGCCTGCTTTGGTCTCTGTGCACATTCCCGAGGACAGTGCGTGTGTTTGTGCATATTCTAGTACCTCCGTATGTTCTTGCATGTGTGTGCATGTATTTACCCATGGCATTGCTGTTCATGAGAAAGACCCCAAATGACTGACCGCTCTCATCCTCCATACAGAGGAAGAATGGATAGTGTCCGTAGAGGTTATGTGTTCCCTGCAAGGAAGGTGGAGAGAGATGAGGGGACAGAGGGAAGAGGTGTGAGACGCAGGAGGGGTGACACTCACTGAAACTGAGGATATGACTTCACAGCCTAATCTGCTTACAGTTAATTCAATTATAAGCCCTTTGAGAAGGACAATACACATGTAGGGGACACATGTAAGCATGTCACACTAGCAGATACACATAAAACCTAGATTTTGTGCACACAATATGTCTATAGCAGTGGATGAGTGCATCCTCCTTACCCCATTAGGGAAAGCATCTCTGGTGAAAATGGGCCAAGTTCTCCAGTTTGTGTCATGGCGATATTGTTGATGGACATGCTCTCCCAGGCCATAAATATTATGGGATGGAAGCTTTGCAGACAGCTGTAGGTACTGGTCTGCAAACACCAGTGGACCCATTGTGTCAAACCTTTGAAAGCAAAAGACAAAAAAAAAACCGAACAGATCATCTTCGGGAAGTGAGGAGAAAGACTGATGTGAGTGAGACCGTTGGAAAGGCAGGCGAGAGAGAGAGAAAATGTGAGAGACAAAGAAGTAAGAAAGAAAATGAGAGCGAGTTGCAGCGAGAGGAGACGAGAGTGGGAGTGGCACCGAGACAAGGACGCGTGGAGGAGTTGAGCTGTGGAAAGAAAAACCAAGGAGAAGACAGACCATCCCATCAAGGTCTAATAAGCCTGCTGAGTAGTATTTTTCTAGTCTTCAAAACAAGACATACAATGGTAGCTGAAATACTCAGGCTGCTGGAGCTGCAAGTAGCTGTCAAAGCATTCAAGTAAAGGATATAAACTTAGTAAATATACATTGTTATTTAATAGTCATGATAGCAAATAGCTGAAAAAATAGTTCCATCAGTGACTTCATTGAATCATATGACACAGACTTACTTAATGCTGTCGAGGCAAATAGGATGACTGTGAATGACTGCATGTGTTTAATGAACATGTCTATTTACAAGTCAATTTTATTATGAGAAGAGAACACCGGCACACTATCTAGGTATCACTATCAGAGTGAGCATGACTATCATTCTATTATGTTATCATATCAAGTTATAGCCTTTTTATTGGTAGTGTATTGCTTGCGTTTTTATAAAAATGTTATTAAATAGTTCTACAGTAATGATAACAGCTGCAAAGCAGGAAGTTATTAACCTCCAGACTGGCAGATTATTGTATCACATGAATTCTCTATTAAATATCACTTACTCTGCTTGATGTAAATGGGTTTGAACAAAGACAGGCCATATCAAACTATTAAATGAATACAGTATAGATAAACATATTGCAAAGCTGTATAAATTTAGCTGAAACTTTCCACTTGTTAATTATTTTCCAGTTAAAGTTTAACTATGCATCAACAAAGTTACACTGTAACCATCTGGCCTCCTTTATTGGAACATGGCTTACTTATAAACTAAATACTGGTTCTTTGTTTACGCACACATGGACGTTTTACAAATGTTCAAATTCATTTATGTTAATATGGGATTTTTAGGTTTTTCCATCAGCTGCACTAACTTCAGAAGTAAAGTACACAGTCCACACGTTTCCCATTCACACACACACATCAATGATGTTATGCAAGATGCTAGCCTGCCATCCAGAGCAACTTGGGGTTCAGTGTCTTACCCGAGGACACTGGCAGGTGGAGGAACCAAGGATGAACCTTTTTCACTACCTGAGCCACAGCCACCCAGTATGTATCATGGAGAGGGTGTGTTCCTCAGCCCTTACCTTTAGCTGTCCTAACTCATAAAGATATGGTGTTTGTAATGCCCAGGAGTAGTTGTGACTTTTGGAATTGATAAAGTTTAATTTTAGTCATAATAAAAACCAATGTCTGGCTCATCACACCACAGAAACGTGATTGCGGTGTTTGACCTAAAGTATCATCCTCAAGACAAGGTTGTTAAAGTTGAATAAAGTTACTGCAATCCAGTTCATAAATAGCAAAGAGATTTTACCAAGGGATCATAAAAGCAATCTCATGGCTTCTGGCTGAAGGTCATGTGCAGTGTTGAGAGTACAACAATACTGCTTGATGCACCTGCTTTTAGTGACAGAAACCAAAGGTTGTTGTTTTAGATAACAGTGGCACTTGCTCTACTGGTAATGTGTGGCTCTAGCTGAAGGGTTTCAAAGACAATAATTATGTGGACTTTCACAGTGGAAAACAATTATTTTAGGACACTGTAAAGTAAAAGTCTTGTACATTGAAAGAAGCTTTGTTGCCACCAAAGATTTGGTTCTATCTGGACAATAAGGTGATGATTACTGGGTACTGGTCCTAAATGCAAGCTGATTCCTAGTGTGCCAGCTCCATCGTGCAGATGAGATATCGCCATCATTATTTACATATCATTCGTCTGCTTGTTTAATGTCTGGAGATTGCGTTTATCTGCTGTTAATTTAGCTGTTTTACCTTGCATTGCAATAAGACATTTTAATTGTGTTTGCATTCACTCGACTGTGCTGGACAGGTTAAAACATAAGACAACTGTAACAAAAAGAAACCCTACAGCAAACAATACATGAACAGTTTTGTGGAGAACGTACACCATATATGAGCAGTGTTTAAGATGACTTGGTTCCCCACAGGTACTGCAGCACTGAAGTCAACCTATAGTACCACTCATTATTAGATGAAATGACTATTAACGTTAGAAGAGTCGGTCACTGTCCACAAGGAAAACAGTGTAATAGTGTAGTTCTTATAAACTATCTCCTATCCAACACAGACCAGTACACATGGTACAAACACACATAGTGAACACTCACAGGACTTGGCCGCCATCACTCCTTCTCACAGACAGGCCAAAGGGGTTGTATCTTATGCTCAGTGTGTTGTCGATAGGGCTGGAATGGTCACTGTTGACGGTACGGACGTGCTCATGAGGGACCTCGAACCTCTTGTTGTTGGGGTCATAGATCTGAGGGAAAGGAAGCAACCGTATAGGCAGTGTGAGCGTTGCCTCCAATCTCATGGTCATGTTTGTACTTTGTCGCAAACATGGCTATTTTTGTTCCTCGTTTGTTCTGCACAGCGCTTGTGTTCAACATCCTTTGATTTAAAAAAAAAAAAGCTGCTTTTGCAAATTAATTTGACTTCACCAAATGTATCTCTCAGTTTCTTCTGATTTTGTCAAAGTGCAGGTCCGTGCGTGAGCAAGAACCGCGTTTAACAGAAAGGGAATGAAAGAGTTGTCGGTGCGCACCTTGAAATGGAGTCGATTGCTTGTCTGCATTTCTGCGTGGAATTGCAGCTCTTGTATGTCCCCACCAAATAAAGAAGGAGAGTCCAGTCTCTTCAGTCGAGCATTCAGTTCTGCAAAACAAAACATATGACAAAACAATGGTAAAAGTTGTAGTACAGGAAGGAATGCCATTGTCGAGAAATATGTCATAATTAACTACCCCTAAAATGACAAAAAGAAGTTATGTTAATGTTTTTTCAAATGTAGTCAAACTACTCCTTTTTCGTTTTGTAGATAACTGTAGTTGGATCCGCTGTGCACAAGTGAGAAACAAAAATGCATCAGAAAATACAACAACTGTAGTAGTCCTTAGCTTGGGCTCTATATTAAACTCATCAGTCGAACTGAGATGATAATCCATTCAAACACAGATGCATTCCCAGGTTTTCCCTTTACCAATATGATCAAAGGGTCCAATATGCTTCCAGAGCTTCCAGAGCTCTGAGTTGCTTCTGAGGTGAATGTAGGAAATTTGCATAGTGGCCGTGAGCGATGTCATGGCTGAATGCATAGAAAAATATTTGAAGACAGTTTAACTTGTACAAGAAGGTATGCCTTCATTTTATATATTCGTTAAAGTCCTTCTGCCAACCCAAAGCTGGCCAAGACAAATTAAAGTTTTTGACAGTTCTCCTGTCAATCTAAACATAAGCAAATATCAGTATTTTTTATTTCAACCATCTTTGTCACACACTAAATGTTTTTTTTCCCTTTCAATAAATGTTTTCATACTTTGCCAATGTGACTGAAAATGTTGTATTTTAGACTTCATACAAAATGCCCAATGTTTCTCTTTGCTTTTACACAATAACTGAGCTCACATAAGGCTGTGAGACCAAGCAGAAAATAGAAAAACCTGCATGCTGCAAAGTCAATCATGTTTTCTGATATGCCATCCATGTCATATTTCTCAGAAACCCATGCCTTAGGCAAAGTGAGTGGAAAAAGGAAAAATCGTGTGATGTGAAAAAGACCGACAGATTGAGGGAATGTGGAGCAGTTAGAATGAGAAAATAAGCTAAATAGAAAGCCAAATATTTTCTTCTGTGGGTAAACACACCAGTGGGGAAGTGGGGTAGAAAGAGGGGGAAATGGGGATTTACCATAAGCAGTTGGGGCATCATCTGATACCACTGTGTATCCATGGTTGGTTGAGAAGAAACACCAGGGAGCATTTCGCTCGTTCAGTGGGCTCCAGCAACATCCTCGCTGCACACATGTATCCTGTTCAAGTAGGAAGGTTGATGTTGTTATCAGTGTCCAAGTTACTCTTACTGTCATTACAACTGACATAAACATTACTATGATAATAATTGCCATCTGTCTAATAATCCTTATAACCAGGGTTACTGTTATCACCATTATCGATAACCCTAAGTCAGTTGTAGCTGTACTAAGAGTAAGAATTGAGCACTATGAGTTGTTAGAATGACTGCTTGAACTCAATATCTTGCGATAAACCTTCTTCACAAACATCCCTTTGTATTCTATGAGATGATGGTGACTCGTACCTTTGAGGCTCCAGCATCAGGGTAGCAATCTACTCTCTCAGCCACAGGAATGTTGGGACACTGAGGAACAAAGTTGAGTTCTGCAAAATATGTAAAGCAAAACAGCTAAATCAGTATTTCACAGTCAAGATCTAATAACTGTAACATGACGCATCAGTATGCAGTCTACTCAGTGGTCAGAGATTTAAACACGTGTGCAATGAAGCAAAGTAGGGTTTTTATGCCATTACAGAGCAATTTCCACCCTGTAAAGGCTGGATGAATGAGTCAGTGTGAGATAACTATTCATTTTCCATTACCCGACGGGGAGTGTTGCTCAACCGTAACTAGATGGTTGCATAACTACCTGGCTATCTTTTTAACAATGATAACCAAGGTCCTTTTAACCAACATGAGACCTCTGTGCTCATTTGCGGTCTCCAGTTAGACAGATTTATGCCTTTGCAGTGATTTGTGACAGTTCGGAGGAGTCTTAAATGTGATGTATCTATCTAGAATTAAGAAGAATAAAACTTTATTAATCCCTTCGGTACAAAACCTCAAGGAAATTGCTAATTTATCTATCTAATTCAACTAATCTATCCAATAGGGGCGTCATAGAATGTGTTGTTCTTAAGAGAAATTACAAGTAACACGTTTTGTTGCTTATTTTAAGGGCTCGTTGGGTCTGTTGTTATTATACAATCATGAAAGAAAAGTTTGGTCTGTGTGGTCTTGACCTATGACCGAAATATTAGTTATCTGTGGATCAAGACCTACAATAGGTCCAAAAAACATGGAGATTGTCTAAATGGGTTACATGTTGAAGTTTGAAGTTTACATGTTCACAAATATGTACGTGTGGTTCGCCTACCTTCGGCAGATGGTTTCGTGGCATACAGAATTATGAAAGTCAGGGCCAGTACTGACATCACCACGAAAAGGAGTATTAGGGCCAACTCCAACCTCGAGAACCGTTTTTTCCCCATCTAACACACAAACAAATGCACACAGAGTGATTACAAAGGCCAACATCATTAACACCCATTAATGACACCAAGTTTACTGAAGGCAAGGTCTCATAGGTCCAGAAACCTCCCTCCTTAATGACGCCCATTGGCAGGACACAGATACGCACTCATGAGCAAAAAATAAATAAATGTAGTAAACACATGTCTGACATACACATATTTTCCTTGCATTAACCTTGGATTCTGCAAAAGCCTTAGAAAGTTGAGAGAAGCACTAAACTCAGAAAATCATAAAGGAAGGGAAAAAGGAGGAGAAAGAGATAGAAAGTTGACAAAACTGTCCGACAGGTCGAGTCTAGTATTTGCGAAGGCACCCATCATATCACTCAAGCAATTAGGCTTCACTCCAGTATCCTGCCGGAGACAAAAACAAGGTGAATGTCTGAATGACTGTGTGGGTATGTGTCTATTTGGGTGTGTGAGAGGCTTATAGCCATCCTGCCTAATGTGCTGTGAAGAGCAGGTGAGGGCACAGAGAGAGAGACCGAGAGCCAAACGTGTGCATGCCCCTGTGCGTTTGCAGTCAGCTGCACATCACAGAGAAGCACAGAAAAAAAGCCGGGGAACATGCAGCGTAACACACGGACACCGGGAAAGATACACAAACATTGGTACAGTACAAACCCTTTAGGCTCTCGACTCTTCCATTTAGCTCGCAATAAGCACCTAAAAATAACTCCACACAGCGTATCGTTTTACATCTCCCAACACTCAGACGCTCTGATACATGTAGAAGGACACTCACTTCAACAACAAACACTTTGCGACTGCACTTTTGAGGTTCCTACAAGCAGTTTAACACAAAGTCTGATATTTCTGGTGAACTTATGTTTAGCTCACGGGTAACTTTGAGACATTTCGATAAAAGTTAATGTCAGACTAAGAGGCTGTTTGTTACCTTTAATTGTGTTTCAGACTGGCATATAAGGTGTGGATTAGTGTAGGGAGCAAGTGAGCAAAAAAATCAGTATGCACAACTCTCCATAGACATCTGTTCCTCTGAGCCGCATTGCAATTTACAGTAGATTTTTTACTCTACTGGCAAAGAGCTGGGCTACACATAACCAACATTATCATTAACGCGGTTGCAGTCTGTCCACAGTAATTTGGATGGAACTGCATAATTCAAACATCTGCAAGCTACAAAATGCTGAAAGAAAAGATGGCTTTGAACATCCATTTCTTGCAGGTCTGTATCTATAACAAGAAGGACTTCTGAATGCAATATTTATGCATCATTATCATATGTTGATGTTGTAGTTATTAAAAATGAAGCCCACTAGCATCTCAGTAATAATCGTTATTCAGCATCATATTGTAAGTCATGGTGTATCATCAGGAAACGCCATAATATACACTGTAGAGGATTTTTATTTAATTTATTTGTTGTAGAGTATAATTACTGTAATATGAGCTAAAGATTGTTAGTTTTTGAGTTGAACTGCTAGACAGCAGGCTCTGCAGTCTTACCTCGGCTCTCTCCAGTGGTCGGGGCAAAGTGCTCTTCAGTTCAAGCGAGATCGCACCTTATAATCCACAGGATGGTCTGTGGTCACATGGACTCACCACTCCTTTACTGCTTAGTGTGTTATCTGTGGTCTTATCTGCCTTCCTCAAAGCCATAAAATGTAAGATAACCATCTAAACATCTAAAGTGTGAGACAACAAGTTTATCCTGATATCACCATATCAGCTTGGCACAACTCCATTATCTCATTTGATTCACAGCTGTAATGAGCATGTAGGCAGACATGTTTATGGTTATTTGGCTATTGACTTGTTTATTGACTGGGTTTTTGAATGCGCATGTCTTTATTGTTTTATGCCAGCAATGACTCAGAATGACTAGTCTTTATCCTACCGTGACCGTAACCCTACTTTTTACGCACCGGCTTGGCAGTAGTTAGTTGAATGGCTATGGCAGAAACAAGCAACACATCACAATATACGAGAATAGAGTATGTAGATTCTAATGTATTGGTAATTACTCACATGATCAAAACTTTCATGTTATTTCTGTTTTTTTACAATAATACTACGATATAATAGTATGAATAGCTGATTAAACTAAAGCTCAATATGATAGCTGTCAGTAGTTAGACATTGTAACGTTATATGTTTGATCACATACAGATCATTCACTGGGACTCGGCTGTTGATTTATTCTACTCCCGTCTGCACCAGCCTGACAAACTAGATTGTTAAAGGAATAGTATGACATTTTGGGAAAGACACAGCTTGCTGATGCAGTTAGATGAAATTATATCACCACAGTGTTTAAACAAACAAGATATAATGTGTTACATAATTTCTTTTTGAAGTCGGTGAGAGGCAGCATTTTTAACCTTTGGACAGCTATTGAAATCTGAAAGACCTCAAACAAGGGAAAAAAGAAAAAAAAAAACTTGTTTTAGGTCATTATGCAAAGATAAGCTAATTCACAGCTGGCTACATATTTACATGCAGACATGAGAATTGTGTATCACCGCTGTTTTTCAAGTCGTAGGAAGAAAGCAAATACATGCACTTCCCAAAATGTGGAATTATTTTTTTAAGCAAATAAGATTGTACAGCACTGTGTTCTGCTTGTAACTGCAGAGCTAGAGTTACTAGAGTTACTGTGGGTACTCTAACAATCATTCATTTTTACACTGTCTTTGTCTTGTAAAAGTGCACTCTGAGCTTTGTGGGATCAAGACAGATGGCTGCACTCTGTTCCGTGACACAAACAATGACACAGTCATCATCATGTAGCAGGTCAGCAGCAATGATGAACAACACTCACCTCCATTCTGGGAGTCAAAGAAAGCGGGCAAAGCAGGCTGTTGGCAATCTGCCTTGAAGCAAATAGTTCCACCATTTGCCTTCTCAAACAGAAATTAAGTATGAGGTGATCTGTCCATAAGCTATACCTGCTTTATCCTGGAGTAGGTCGCGGGTAGCTGGAGTCTCTTCCAGCTGACACTGGGCGAGAGGTGGGGTACACCCTGAACAGGTTCCCTGGCATCTTAGTGCTAACACAAAGAGACAGATAACATATTCAGAAATACCAGTTTACCTCCCAAGCATTAGAGGAAGCCAGAGCATGTTGAGAAAACTCAGAGAGAACATGCAAACTCCACAGAAGCCTCTTGCTGTGAGATGGCAGAGCTGACACTGCACCGCTTAGCTGCCCTGATATGAGGAGATGTAGGCTCATTTTGTTTAACAGGGGTCTTCCTCTAAATATGATGAGAGTGAAGAGATCTTCAGTGGTCCAGTGCCACTTGCTGTCGATCCCTCAAAAGCAGACCTAAGTAAACTAGCTATTTAGACTCAAAAGAACTACCAATCTCTGGTTTAAATTGTATACAGTTTCTATGGCCAGACATCCATCAATTCCAATACACTGTATAGTTTATAGCTTCAGTAAAGGCCATCCCACAAAGGAGAATGGAGAGGATCAACTGAATGAGCTCCTCACTCTCTAGAAACACAATCATCTGCTCTTCCAACACAGACCTTGATTGCCTTGAACTAGACGATCGAAGGAGCTAAAATGAGCTCTGAGCGAACGTGTGCGAGCACTCATGTTGGTGAGGCATCAAAAGACAGGGAGTAGAAGGGCTTGCATCAATGTCTCCATAATTTGTCTTTTTTACCACGTGTTCAACATAAGAAGATCTTTAAGTGTGTGTGTGCAAGCATGAAGATGTAGGCGTCCAAGTTCTTATGAGATCACTCTGCCCACTCTTCAGCCTTTTCTTTCTTTACAAATCCAATTCCACTCCACCACTGCCAATCTCAGGTGCTCTCCCTCTAGAACACAACGCAAGGCAATTTCAATAGAACAAACTGAAATTGGCAATTCACTCCCCGGCATCGATCACTTTAAAACTAGGCACTCAACAATGAGAGCTTCCAACCTACCAAGTTTACATGTGTGTGTTCGTGCACACGTGTAAAAAGCAAGCAGGACCTGAACTGACTACCTGCTTTAAGATCTCAATGTATCATCATTTTACCCCAAGAAGTTATTCATATGTAAGTCTCTAGTAGACTGATTTTGGCATGCAACTCTTGATGTTTCAGGATTTTTTGGGGGCGTTTTTTTTTTGTTGCTGTTAACATTTACTAACTTTATTGCTCTCTTAAAGTACAATAAAACAGTCTCAGACTAACAAATGGGTTTACAGTGATTTCTATCTGTCACTAATTATCAGACTATGTGTTGCAGGAAATGCATGTCTCCAGTGATAAATGTAATACATATTAATAATTTACCATTTGTAGGTGTGTTTCCGTAGACATCTGTCTCCAGTTGGAGATAGAAGACTTGTTCATGCTCTGAGACATTTCCTTTATTTTTTTCTCTTTTGCTCATACAATCCTCCATGTTTTTCCCAGCTTCTCCATTTACATTTATCAAAACCTCTCCACATATTTAGTTGTATCAGAGTGCATTTTGGAAGTATGTGTTTGCACAAATGAGTAATTCTTAACCATGAACTGCTAAATTGAAGAGGCTGTTTTCACCGGGGTTATGTTTTCACGTAAAACTCTACTTAGAATGCAAATTTTAGTTCCCAAAATTAGTAGTGTGAACTTATTGCTCTCAGTCCATTTGTCCTTGTCCACTCTGTTACTGCTTGGTGCTCAGGAGCTGCTGTCTAATGCGGTGCAAAAGCAACAGTAAAAAAAAAACAAAAAAAGCACTGAGTGTGTGAAGCATAATGAGCAACATGGAGAATAAGGACAGGGACACAGTATGTAGCAATATGTCAAGCTGTGCACATTGTCATTTAACTGAATGCACAGGTTTATGAAGTCCACACACATTTAATTGATTTTGAGGCTTTAGGTTACCAGTATGTGTTCTGATGTCATCCAGCCTTGTGTTTGTTGATTCACGTCTTCTCAGCAGAGTTCCACTCGACAAAGTCCTTTTGTTGAGTCCTGTACATGAAGAAATGTTCCAA